CCACACCTTCGCCCCGAGGGTTCCCACCCCAGGAGTGACGGCTCTCTGCACTTACAGATGATCCTCCAGCTTCCTCTTCAGCAGGGTGGGCTGGGGGGAGAGAAGCAGGCAGGGAGTGAGGGGTGGGGGACAGGTCTGAAAACGATGGGGTGCCTCCCTGGACCATGGTACTCACAGTGGCCTTCATCGGGCATCGGGCAGCAGGGGTTTGGGAAGAAAGGAAGATTACTGGGGGGCACTACGAGGGCCAGGCAGGGAGGAGGTGGGCACTCACGTCCTCTGCCTTGGCCCCCTGCTCCTGCAAGGCTTTCTGTAGATCTTCCACCTGGGCCCTCAGCTCAGACAGCTGCTGCTGGTTCAGCCTGGTGGGAAGGGTGCTCAGTACTCGCACTTGGTCCTGCCTGTAGCTCTCCTTTCCAAACAAACTGGGGCTCTTACCGGTGCTGCGTCTCCAGCCCATGGCGTGCACGGTTGGCCTCCTCCAGGTGGCGCTGCAGCTCCTCCTGTCTCTCCCGGTCCGCGGCCTCCTGCTGGCACAGTCGCTTGTTCTCCAGCTGAAGCCGCAGGAGCGTCTCCCTGAGAACAGGTGAAACTCTGGGTCGAACGTTGCCTTGGAAAGAGCCCAGCCAGCCTTGGGGTAGGAGTACTGAAGACCCGGCTCCAGGGCCTCAGGCTCTGGGGGCTGACGTGGGCTGGCGGAAGGAGGACTAGGGAGGGAAATCAAAGTGGGCGGGGCTCCAAAGAGGTGCGCGGGTGGGGGTGCGAGGATTAGAACACTTGCATCCAGCTGCGGAAACAGTAGGAGCCAGGGTGGGGGTTACCAGAACAGGGTAAAAGGAACTGGACCTAGTAGGGGCTCCAGGGATACCAGGGCAAGAACCTGGGTCTCAGATCAAAGGAAGCAGAGCTAAGATGTAGGAATTTTGCATCTGAAGCGAAGCTACGTGGATTGGACTTAATTCGTGCACTGAAAAGCCTTTGAAATAGAAGCGCCAGAGCAGAAGCAGGAACACGAAGCCTAAACCAGGCAACCAAGAGGAATGGTAGGCTTGCACTCTGAGAGTGGGGCTGAGGAAGAGCCGAGCCTGGATGGGTCCAGAGCCTTAAGAGGTCCCTGTATACCTGAGCTCTGCAGGTAGGATCTCTGCGGCTAAGTTTTCAAGGCCAGAAGGGGTAGGATCCAGCGAGAGGTCTGAAGAAAACAAGAAATCTTCAGGTTTCTGTGCACCCACAGTCTCTGTCCCGGGGTTCTCTTTTCTCTCTCTCTCTCTCTCTTTTTTTTCCCGGAGCTGAGGACCGAACCCAGGGCCTGAGCTAAATCCCCAACCCTCCGGGGTTCTCTTTTCAAGGGTCATCTTTGGGGGCTAAAGTACAGCCCCAGACCACCCCAACCCAGATCTGAAACTCACCAGCCTGAGTCAATCCCCTCGGCTGCAGCTGGGCACAGCGGAGCTCCTCATTGGCCTCCCTCAGGGAGTCCCTCTCAGCCAATAACCGCTACAGGGACAGGATGCAAGATGCCCGTTGGACCTCCTGGGAGATGGGCTATCCCAGGACACACAGGCAGAGCCTGGGCGGAGGGCCTCACCTCCTTCTCCTTTGTCACCAAGTCACACTTTTCCTCTAGGTTCCGGCACTCAAACAACCATTTCTCGGCCTTCATGGCCTCTTCCTGCCACTGGCTCTGTAACTCCTGCACCTGCAGGAGAGCAGTGGGCCTGAGACTGGCAGATGAAAGCCACCACGCCTGACAGCCTGAGCTCCACCCCTGGGACCCACAGGGCAGAAAGACAACACCAGCTTCTGCAAGCTGTGTTCTGAACCCCGGTTGCACACTCACACACATACACAAACTCACACACAAAATAAATAAAATGTAACTTAAGAAAAGAAGGGAAGTTAGAGGCTGGAGAGATGGCTCAAGGGATAAGAGCACTGGGTTCTCTCTTCCAGAGGATAGGGGTTCCATCCCCAGCACCCATGTGGTGGCTCACAACTGTCTGTAACTCTGGTCCAAGGGGATCTGATGCCTTCTTCTGGCCTCCATGAGCACCAGGCACACATGCAGAGGAAACAGTCATACACATAAACTGTTTGGTTTTTTTGTGGGTTTTTTTTATTTGTTTTTGTTTTTTTGGCTTTTCTCTGTGTAGCTTTTCGCCTTTCCTGGGACTCCCTCTGTAGTCCAGGCTGGCCTCAAACTCACAGAGATCCACCTGCCTCTGCCTCCAGTGTGCTGGGATTAAAGGCGTGCACCACCACTGCCCATGTGTTTGTTTTTTCAAGACAGGGTTTTTCTGTGTTGCAGCCCTGGCTGTCCTGGAACTCACTCTGTAGACCAGGCTGGCCTCAAACTCAGAGATCCACCTGCCTCTGCCTCCTAAGTGCTAGGATTAAAGGTGTGCTCCACCACCAACTGGATCTTAATTATTTATTTATAAATTTATAAGTAAATTTATGTGGCCGGGTAGTGGTGGCACATGCCTTCAATCCCAGTACTTGGGAGGCAGAGGCAGGTAGGGGGCAGCGAGTGAGCCCCAGACAACCTCATCCCCCTGACCTGACAGAGATGCACAGCTGCCCTGTACATCACCCGGCCATCAGGATACCCGCCCGTCCCCACACTTGGATAACTGTCTCGGTTTTGGAAACAAAACAAAACAAAACCCGGGAGCCTGTTCTACAGAGTGAGTTCCAGGAAAGCCAGGGCTGTTACACAGAGAAACCAGGGGGAAAGGGGAGGCGTGAGGACAGCAGAGAGAGGAGGAGGGGCAGAAGACCCCGTGGGGCCAGAAAAGGGGTGGAGCCAGAAGGGACGAGGTGGTAACAAGAAGTTGGAAGGAAGGGTGCTCAAGAGAAGCAGAGGGGCTTACAAACCCAGCCAGGGGAGGGGCGCGTCTAGAGGGCACGGCCCAGTAATACAAGAGGGACGGCTACAGAGCTGTGCTGGGAGCGGACTAGAGTGCCGGGTCCAGCCGTTATGGGGTGGCGCTCCCTGCCTTACCTGCCTGCGCTGGGTCTCGAGCTGGGCACGCAGGGATCCCGCACGGCGCAGCTCCTCTTCCAGCTGCCGCGTGCGTTCCGCGTGGCCCGCGTTGCGCTCCTCCAGCTGCCGCACCTGCCGTCTGAGCTCCCGCAGCTCACCCAGGCGGCGACGGCAGCTCTGCAAAGTGGCCTCCAGCTGCCTTGCGCGTTCGGAGGACTGCCTGAGAAAGGCATGGGGAGTGGAAATTTCAGAGGTCGGCTGGGATGTTGGGCAGGGAAGGGTTTCAGCCTGAGGGACTCGGGGTCAAGATGAAGGTGTCAGCCAGGTCTGTAGTTCTGGTAGGGGTCATTAGGGTAACAGGTTATAAAGGAAAGGTTCTCTGAAGTGGAAATGCACAGACATCGAAGAGATTTCTGAGATAACAGAGTGAGTGATAAGGACACTTTGGGGTCGTGGGGAGCTCCCAGGAGTCTTCAGAAGCGAGGTGGGATGTTCACTGGGTGTGTTAGCATTCTGAGAATATATAGGGTTATAGGAGAGGTCTTTGGAGATACAGACGGCACAGAAGGTTCACAGGGGGCTGTGATGATACGGTCTTAGAGGACATCCTGGAACCCAGGGGCATGATGGGATCCAAATGGTGCAGTGGGGTCTGCAAAATATTAATGGAGGGGCTGTATTTGTGCTGTCGGGTGATGGCTAATGACACTGTAAAACCAAGGGGGCTCCATGGATCCAGGAGGTCTCTCTGTAGTGGGCCTTAGTGTAGCAGGAAGCACCACCTCCTTTGAGCCATATGGCCGGAAGTCATGGGCGGAGCAAATACCACTACATCTTAGCGGTGCTGTGTGGTTCAGGATGGCATGGGGGAGCCTAGGAGGTATGGTGTGCCAGTGCACTTAGCATTTGGGACTTGGAGGTGCCACAGCACTGGAGAGCATCCTGTGCCAACGCTGCAGGTGTGTGGTGGGCATTCAGGACCTGCTGCCTACCGAAGCTCGTCCATCTCGTCCTTCAGCGCTTGTGCCTCCTGGGATAGGCTGCTCAGGGCTTGGTTCCGTTGCTGCAGCTCAGTGACCTCCCGCTCCAGCTCCATGCAGCGCAGCCGCTCATCTTCGCGGCTGCTCTCCAGCCTGGGGTGTCAGGGGAAAGACACATGAGAAGGATGCCCTTTGGCCCCAGTGCCCCGCCCCCCACCCCAGCTGACCATACCTGAAGTTCTCCTCTTGCAGCTGTTCCAGCTGTGACTGCAGGAGCAACAGCTTCTTAGCAGTGAGGCCTGGCGCACTCTCCACCTCCGAGCGGCCCACCCGCTCCCGCAGGGCAGCATTCTCTTGTGCCAGATTCTGCTTCTCCTCCGAAAGGAGCACAAGCTGTGGGCGGGGAAGACAGGTGAACTGGAGCATGAACCAGGTTTTATGTAGGTAGGTTTATGTAGGTAGGTTATGCACGTGGCCCTGTTCCCTCCACCTCACCCCCTCCGCCTCACCCACCTGCCGTTCCAGATCCAGGTAGTGTTGCTGAAGTTCATCACCCTCCTCCACCTCCTCACTCAGGAAATAGTATCTTCGGGACTGAGGAGATGGACAAGAGGTGGGAGATGAAGGACTTGGGGCTCCAGAAGGGAGGAAGTAGAAAAGCTGTGATTTCCAGGGGCCCTGGGGAGGGGTCAAGGAACCCTAAGATCTAAGAGTGGGCTGGAGTCCTAAGAGGATGGAAGAACGGTAATTTTCTAACCCCTGAGATGGGGCAAGGCAAGAAGCTAAGACCGGAGAAACAGAGATGGTCGTTTAAGCTTAAGAATAACAAGCCCTTGCCGGGCGGTGGTGGCACACGCCTTTAATCCCAGCACTCGGGAGGCAGAGCCAGGCGGATCTCTGTGAGTTTGAGGCCAGCCTGGGCTACCAAGTG